CCGGGAGGGGGGGGGAGGGGAGGGGTCCCGCCACGTGCCCCGCGCCCCCCGCGCGAACCGAAAGTAGACGCGCCCCTCGCTCGCCGCGCGCGGCCGCTTCTTTTTTCTGATTGGCTGCGGCGCCGCTGGTCTGCCCGGATACGGCGGCGCCCGCGGCTGTGATTGGCTGAGCCCGCGCCCCCCGCCCCGGCTGGGGGTGAGCGCCCGGATGTGGCGGGGCGGGAGGGGCCGAAATCTGCCTGGCAACAGCGACCTGATTGGTCAGGGCGGGCGGCGCGAGGGGAGACGGGTGTGCGGCGAGTGTGCAAAGGGGTCACGTGGGGCGGGCGCGTGTGCGGGGGTTGTGCAACGGGCGCGTGTCACGTGCCCGGGTCTCGTGCGAGTGTGCGACGGGGGCGGGGGGCGGGGTGGTGAGTGTGCAAGGGAGGGTCACGTGGGGAGGTCACGTGTGCCAGGAGTGTGCAAGGCGCGTGCAAGGCGAGTTCCCGAGCTGGGAAAGGGAAATGAAGGATTTTCCGTGGATTTATGTCAACCCGCGGGTCACGCGCATCCCGGAATTCCCAGAATTCCCGAATTCACAAATTCCAGACTCTTGGAATTCCCGAATTCCCGGAATTCCCAATTTCCCCCATCCCAGAATTCCCGAATTCCCAAGTTCCAGACTTTTTGGAATTCCCACATTCCCAAATTTCCAAATCCCAAACTCCGAATTCCCTACTCTTGGAATTCCCAAATTCCCAACTCCCAGAATTCCCAAATCCCGGAATTCCCAAATTCCGACTCCCGGGTTTCCCCGGGGATCACAGCCAGGTGCAGTCCCTGAATTCCCAAATTTCTGGGGACGGGGGAAAAATAATTGGGAATCAGAATTGAAAACCCCAATTTTAATCAATTTTAAAATGTAAGTTCCCATTCCCATTGGACCCCACCGCGTGGGAATTCCAAGGAAAAGGGTTTGGAACAGCTGCAAAAAATGGGGGGAAAGGGATTTGGATGGTTCAAATTCCATGGAGGAATTCCAGCCGCTCCCTGAGGGGAAGGATTTGTTCCCCGTGGATTTTCCCGGGATTTGATCCCAGGATTTGCTCTTGGCTTTTCCGGTTTTTTTGGGGTTTTTTTTTTTTTGTTTTTTTGGGGTTTTTTTCCGGATTTCTGAGCTTTGGTTTGGGGTCGTTATTCCTCAAAAATGCCCTTTTTCCACCCGAAAATTCCAATTTCTGGCAATAACCGGTTGGGAACTTTCCAGGAAAAAAAGCCCAAAGGATCATTTTTATCGGGTTTGGGGGAAAAATAAATCCCAAGCAAAAACCCAGGGGAACGAGGGGAGGATCCTAAAACCCCAAAATCCCAAAATCCCCGGGGCGTGGGAGACGTGCAGGGAAGAGGCTCTGGAGCTTCCCGGCCTTTCCAGGGATTCCTTTGGAATGGGGGAGGGAAAAATCCCACATTCCCGGGGATTTCTGGGGAAGGGAAAATCCCACATTCCCGAGGAATTTTGGGGAAGGGAAATCCTAAATTCCCAGGGATTTCTGTGGACCGGGAATCCCACATTCCCGAGGAATTTTGGGGAAGGGAAATCCCACATTCACGAGGAATTTTGGGGAGGTTGCAGATTTTAATCGGGAAGGGCAGAACTGGAAAAGTGGGGTTTTAATTGCAGGGGCAGAGGCTGAGTAAGAGCCGGCTCTGGCTTGAGTTTGGGATGCTGGGATTGTGGGATTTGGGGATTTTTGGGATCTCAAGGCTCACCTCGTCCCACCCCCGGGCAGCTCCAAGAGCGGCCCAGGCTGGGCTGGGCATTCCAGGGATGGGGAATCCATGAAAAAACCGGGGCCAGGGGAGGATTTATCCCAAATATCCACCTGGATCCCACTTTATTTCTGGGCAAAACCTTCTCCAGGAGCCCAGAGCTAACATAGGGGGGAAATAGAAGCGGGGAAAAGGATAAAAATTGATGAGAAATGGGGATAAAATGGCCAGCTGGAAGCGAAGCCCCGGGAAAAGAGGCAGCGCCGGGAATTCCTCCGGAGCCTCCCGCAGCCCGGCCCGGGCATTGTCCCGGCCCCGCCGCCGCCCTCGGCCCCGGGGCTTGTTTGTCCCGGGCTTTTTCCGGGAATGAAACTCGGGAAGCGGCGGCTGATGCAGGAAACAACTTTATTGATGGCAGGGAAAGCGACAGGGACAGGGACAGGGACAGGGATGGCCGGGAATGGCCCGGGGGATGCCGAACCCTGAAATCACCCGAGGGGACCCCAAAGCAGGAATCCCCCATGAGATCCTAAAGCCCAGAATCACCCGGGGAACCCCACAGCCCCGATCCCATCACCCGGGGCACCCCACAGCCCCGATCCCATCACCCGGGGCACCCCACAGCCCCGATCCCATCACCCGGGGCACCCCACAGCCGCGGTCCCCCGGGACCCCCGGTCCCGCGGCGCTGCCGGGCTGGCTCAGGGCAGGGTCACGGATTTGGCGTCGCCGCCGGGGAAGCGAATCGCGTGCGCCAGGCACGGCCCGTGGGGCTCCTTGCCGAAATCCACCAGGAAGTTCTTGTTCACGGCCAGGCCGCCCTTGTCCGTGTCCACGTCGAGCTGCAGCATCACCGAGCCCTCCCTGCGCGGGGACAGCGGCGGCTCGCGGCGACAGCGACCCCCGGGGCCGCCCGGACCCCCCGGAGCTGCTCGGGCAGCGCCGGGGAGCGCCCGGGCCCGGGGCCAGCGGGACGGGCTCGCATGGGGGGCGGGGCCGCCGTACACGCGCTTGCACTGGGACACACGGACTGGGCTTACTGGGGGCACTGGGGGCACGGGGACACACGGACTGGGGGCACTGGGGGCACTGGGGGCACGGGGACTGGCGGCACTGGGGCACGGGGACACGCGGACTGGGGGAACTGGGGGCACTGGGACCTCTGGGACTGGGGTTACTGGGGCTGGATCCCAGCAGGGGCAGTGAGAGCAGGCTCAGGCTCACCCACACTCGGGTGAGCAAACACACTCACTCACTCACACTCTCTCAATCTCACTCTCACACTCACACACTCATACTCTCTCTCACACTCACACTCTCACTCTCACACTCACTCACACTCTCACTCTCACACTCTAACTCTCAGCCGAGCCGAGCCGAGCAGAGCCGGGCGGAGCCGAGCCGAGGCGAGCCGAGCAGAGCCGGGCCGAGCCGAGCCGGGCACGACGGGCTCACCCCGCTGCCCCCGAGCCCCGCTGCCCCGGCCCCTCCCTGTCCCCGCTCCTCCTCCTCCTCCTCCTCCTCCTCGTCCCGCTCCTGCTCGCGGTCCCCGCCGCCCCGGGCGCTGCCGGGCTCGCACTCGCCTCGCAGGATTTGTAGAAGCGGAAGATGGCCCCGCTCAGGGCACAGCCCACGTAGCCCTCGGCGGCCTCGGGGCTGTGCAGGAAGCGCACGCTCAGCGGCAGAGAATCCTCGCCCAGGTCGAAGCACTGCGTCAGGCTGCGGCACGACAGGTTCCACACGTTCAGGCGGCGGCCGAAGACCCCTGCGGGACACGGGGGAAAGGCTCGGGGCCGGCCGGGGACAGGGAGCGCCCCGCGAAGGGCTCCTGCTGGCCATGGGCACGGAAAGGGCAGGGACTGGGAGGGAACTGGGACAGGGAACTGGGAAACGCAGGATCTGGGGACAGGGAACTGGGAAATGCAGGATCTGGGGAGAGCACAGAGAACTGCCGGATTTGGGGAGAGCACAGAGAAATTGCCGGCCGGGGACAGGGAGCGCCCCCCGAAGGGCTCCTGCTGGCCATGGGCACGGAAAGGGCAGGGACTGGGAGGGAACTGGGACAGGGAACTGGGAAACGCAGGATCTGGGCACAGGGAACTGGGAAATGCAGGATCTGGGCACAGGGAACTGGGAAACGCAGGATCTGGGCACAGGGAACTGGGAAATGCAAGATCTGGGGACAGGGAACTGGGAAATGCAAGATCTGGGGACAAGGAACTGGTAAATGCAGGATCTGGGGACAGGGAACTGGGAAATGCAGGATCTGGGGAGAGCACAGAGAAATGCCGGATTTGGGGAGACCAGAGAGAAATGCAGGAATTGGGGAGAGCAGAGAGAAATGCAGGATTGGGGAGAGCACAGAGAAATGCAGGATCTGGGGAGAGCACAGAGAAATGCCGGATTTGGGGAGAGCCCAGCGAAATGCCGGATTTGGGGAGAGCCCAGCGAAATGCCGGATTTGGGGAGAGCCCAGCGAAATGCCGGATTTGGGGAGAGCCCAGCGAAATGCCGGATTTGGGGAGAGCCCAGCGAAATGCCGGATTTGGGGAGAGCCCAGAGAAATGCCGGGTTTGGGAGCAGCCCGGCCCTGCCCACCCGGCTCCCACCCTGCCCATCCTCAGCCCGAGCCTGGCCGAGGCTCGGGGGCACACATCGGCCCCTCGGGGGCACCGGGCCCTGCCAGCCCCAGCTGAGCCCCGCCTGTCCCCACCTTTCTTGAGGTCGTCGGGGTTGAAGCCGCGCCCGGCCACCTTGGGCACCAGCCCGGCCGAGCTGACCAGGACGTTGTGCCGCGCCTGGTACCAGAAGTCGTAGCCGGTCGGGGGAGCCTCACACTCGTTCTCCCAGTTGCCCTTCAGCTCGAAGGTCTCTCCGTCCAGCACCACGAAGCCACCTGGGACACACGAGGGAAGCCCGGGATGGGAGTTGGGGCAGGGAAATGGGAATTCCAGCCATAAAATGGCAATTCGACCATAACACGGCGGTTCCGGTGGGAAAATGCACCTTTGCCGTTGCCAGCGGGGTCGCCCGTGTTGGCCACCAGGACGTCCCCGTTGGGCAGGGGGTGGGTGACAGCCAGGTAGCCCTTGTTGCACTTCCAGAACACATCCACGGGCTCGATCATCTGCAAAAACCAGCGCGAATGTCAGCCTCCGCCTGCTCGGCGCCTTTCCCGGCAGCCCAGAACCCAGCACGGGATCCGTCCTCCCTCCCTGGCCCGGTGCCGGTGCCGCCGCCGTTCCCCGCTCCGTCCCTCGCTGCCGCCCCGGGCTCGCCCCGGCCGTACCTTGCAGATCCGAGGCGCCCGGCACTGGGAGCCCACATCCACCACGTAGATGCGGGAGGAGATGAAGCAGGGCAGCACCAGCTTGGTCCTTTTGGCCGCGGCGCCGCTGTCGAAGCAGCCGCAGGCGGGGCCCCAGCCCGCGCAGTGCAGCTCGTCCTTGAGGTTGGGCATGGGCAGCCGGTGGATCACCTGGGCACGGCCAAGGCAGCTCAGCCCGGGCCGAGCCGGGACATCCCGCGGGGAGCGGCCCCGGGGCGTGGGGAGCCCCGAGAGGGGCCGGGAGCAGAGGGGACAGAGTGGCAAAGGTTTTCCTCCGTTGCCCGGGCACAAAGAGCTCCCCGGGCGGCCCCGGAGGGCTCGGGGGGCGCAGCCCCGGCTCGGTCCCGCCCCGGGGAGCCCGGCGGGGGCCGGTACCTGGCCGTAGGTGCAGGAGCGCGGGTTGAGGTCCACGGTGGCCAGGAAATCGGGCTGGTCGATGCAGGTGGACCTGTAGGTGCAGGTCACGTAGGCGACCTCCTCCCTCGGCGCTGGGGACACAAAAGCGCGCTCGAACCGCGCCGGGAAGCCCCGAGCGGGACGGGGAGAGCTCCGGGCCGCTCTCCGAAATGACCGCCCTGATTTTCGGGGCGCTGCCATTCCCCCCAGCTGCCCCCGGCCGGCCCCGGGGCCGCTCCCGACCCGGGAACAACCGGGACCAATCTCCGGCAGTTCGGCGAAAGGGGCTCAGCACGGACACTGAGCTCGGGGCACCCCAAAGAGCCCAAAGCCCCCCGCCCAGCCCTGCCCCACGGCCAGCACTCGCCTTTCAGCACGTCGGGGCACGCGGGGTACTCGTAGCACGGAGCTCTGCATCTGTCTGGGGAGCAGAGGGGACCCCGTCAGCCCGGCCCTGGCCCCGCGCCCCGCGCCCGCTCCAGAGGCTCCCTCCCAGCCCAGCGACCCCCGGCGCCAGCCCGGGGCCACCCCAGCCCTCCCTGGGCACCGCGGCAGCGCTCGGGGTGGCGCTGCCACCTCCCGGCTCCGGGAGAGGGACCCTGGGGACAGCCGAGCCCTGCTGGGGACACTGCGGACAGCGCGGGGACCCCTCCCCACCGCGGGGCCGGGACAGAGCCCGCACGGGACGGGGACAGAGCTGGCACTGAGCCGGGACGGGGACAAAGCTGTCACCCAGAGTCGGGATGGGGACAGAGCTGTCACCCAGACCCGGGACGGGGACAGAGCTGTCGCTGAGCCGGGACGGGGACAGAGCTGGCACTGAGCCGGGACGGGGACAGAGCTGTCACCCGGAGCCGGGACGGGGACACAGCTGGCACTGAGCCGGGATGGGGACAGAGCTGTCACCCGGAGCCGGGACACGCTGGAAGCTCCAGCAGGGACAATCCCTCTGCATCCCGGGCCCCGGGGCGGGGCAGGGCCCCCAGGAGCCCCCAAGGCCCCGCAGAAGCTCCGGGAGCAGCGGCCCCGGGGGCAGAGCTCGGGCCCGGCTCCCCCCTCGTGCCCGGGCACAAAGGCACCCGTGCCCAGGTGTGCCCGGGCACAAAAGCACCCGTGCCCCGGTGTGCCCGGGCCATCCCCGCAGAGCACCCCGGTGTGCGCGGGCACAAAGGCACCTGTGCCCAGGTGTGCCCGGGCCATCCCCGCAGCGCCCGGCGGGGCTGGAGCCGGGCCCGGGCCGGGGCTGCGGGCCCGGGGCTGCGGGGGGAGCCCGCCAGGGTCCCTTACCCATGGCTGCTGCTCTGGGGGTCGCGGCGCTGGCGGCGGAGGAGCCGGAGCTGAGGGGCAGCTGCTGCTGGCTCGGGGCTGGAGCGGCTGTGCCGTGCCCTGGCTGCTCCCGGGGGCCTTTTATCCCCGCCCGGGCTGGGGGGAGCGGGGCCCAGCCCAGGGAGGGGCTGCCCAGCGCTTGGGAGGTGCCAGCCCGGCGCTGCGGCTTCTTTCCTCCTCCCCGCCGCCAATCTGGGCCCAAATCTGCTGCTCCTGCAGCTCCCGAACCTCAAACGCCGCCGGCCCCGCTGAGCCCGGCTCGCTCCGCACGGAGCCAGCGCCGTGCCCGGGGACAGGAGCTGGGGGCTGATCCTGGAGAAATGGGGGATCCCGGGGGGATTTGGGATCTGCCAGGGGGCATCTGGGATCTGATCCCAGGGAATGGGACAGGACAAGAGGGAGCGGCCTCGAGCTGTGCCAGGGGAGGCTCAGGGTGGGAAGTTGGGGGAAATTCTTCCTCACAAAGGGAAAAAGGCCTTGGAAGGGGCTGCCCGGGGGGGTTCGGAGTGGCCACCCCTGGTGGCACCTGTAGGTGGGGACGTGGGGTCAGCTGGGGACAAGGGGGATTTGGGGAGCTCGGCACGGGCACCTGGGGCTGGAAGGGTCACCGTGGACTGTCCCCTACCCTCTGTTCACCCCCAAGTGTCCCCAAGCCCCTGGGCCGTGCCCAGTCCCAGCCCCGGCTGCAACCAGTACAAAAGTGGCACCAGCAGGGCTGGATTTGACCCAAACTGGGCTGAAGTGGCCCCAAAAGTGTCCCAGGCCCCGAGGGCTCGCAGCAGGGTCCCCTCCCGAGGCCACCACCGGCCTGGCCGCCTGCAGTGCCACAGCGAGGGACACACAGCGCCCTGGAATGCGGCTCCCAGCTCTGGGAAGGGCCGCCCGGGCACAGGGCACCGCCGGGGGCCCGGCGAGGAGCCCCGGGGTGTCCCCAGCAGCGGGGACAGCTCAACCCCCTTGGCCAGGGCTGCCCCTGAGGCTCCTCGGGCTCCGGGACAGCCTCGGGCACCGGGCACGGGGCAGCGGCCAGCGCCTTGCGGGCCTTCCCTGCGCAGTGCGAGCAGCAAAGTGGAGAGAACGGATCGGGTTTGGGGTGAAAAAGTACCAAAGAGGCTCTGTCCCGGGGCCGCCCTTGGCTCCAGCCCCGCCTTGCACCCCCCGGACACCCCTCGGTGTCCCCTGCGCTGCCCCTGCTGTCCCCACGTGCCCGCGCCTCCCTCCCTGGCTCTGCACACCCGCTCATTAGCCCGCCCCTCATTAGCCAGCTCATTAGCCCGCCCCTCATTAACGAGCCGCGCTGCTCCCGGTGGCTTCCCGAGCTGACGTCGCCGTGTCCCTCCCTGTCCCCGCTCGGCGCTCGCGTGTCCCCACGGCGCTGATAAGAGCGAGATAAGCGCGTGCCGAGCGCGGCTCCCGCGGCCGCAGGACGGGCCCCGGCACCCTGCGGCCGCTCCCGGGGCCAGCACCGGCTGCCCCGGCGGGAGCGGCGCCTCCGCCGCCACCTCGGACAGCTCCCGGCCTCCCGCAGCTCCCGGCGGGGCTTCGGCTTCGCCCGGGCCCTGCCCGGCGGGCCGGGGCTCCTTCAGCACGTCCCGTCCCTAAATCCCGACTTCCTGCGCTTTTGGCCCATTCTCCGTCCTCCCTTCCCAGCCTCGGCCTCATCCCGACCCGCAGCCGGGCGCTGAGCACCGGCGGACTTCGGGAAAACCTGTCCATTCACGGGGCGAGCCCCAAATCCCGCTGGTCATTCCTTCCCGAGGGCTGGAATTCCACCCACGGGCCGCCCCCGGGGCCGTGCAGCCTTCCCAGCTCTCCCATCGGGAAGCCTTGAGCTCAAATTCCCTTCCAAGCCACGAACTCCCTGATTTTCTGATGGTTCGGTGGGAAAAGGGTGATTTTTGGGAGCTGGCTCCCGAGTTCACCTGAAAATGTGACAAAATCCAGAATTCCCCGGCCTGTGGAAGACAAGTGGCAACGGATGAGCTCGGGAGTTTGTTCAGAAAAAAAAAAAACGGGGAAAAAAATCACACTGGGGGGAACCCGCGAGCTGCTTTTCCTTGGTGCCAAATCCCCAAAACCCGGGAGCTCTGCTGCAGCCGGAGCGGGGACACTGACCCGCCGGGAAAGGGACCGAGGACAAGGTGGGGACAGGGGAGGAGATTTGTCCCTGTCCCCGTCCCTGTTCCTTGCTCCTGTCCCTGTCCCCGTCCCTGTCCCTTTCCCTTTCCCCTGTCCCCGTCCCTGTCCCTGTCCCTGCCGGGGGGACACACGGGGGGCCCAAACCCCGAATTCCCCCGGGTCGGGATTGTTCCAGGGAACACCCGGGCTCCCCACACCAGCAGGAAAAGCCGGCGAGGAGGAGCCGCTGCCCTGGGTCCCAAAATTCCCAAGGCTTTGAAGCTTTTTGGGCGAGCAGCCCCCGAGGAGCCGCCAAAGCCCGAGATAATTCCAGGGCGTCTCTCGCTCCTCTGGATCCGCTTGGAATGAGGGACTTGAAAGGCTCGGGGTGGCCTTTCCTCCCTCCACTGGGCAGGAATGTCCAGCTCCAGAGGCTTTTAGGGATGGGCGGGACAGATCCCAGATGAATCCCTTCCAAATCGGGGGAGATAACCGCGATCTGCACTGTCAGGAACGGAGAAATCTGATTTTCCCTGGATTATGGGAAGTGGGGATGAGCAGGAGAAGCCGGGAAACTTCCCGAACCGGGCTGGGGGGACGTTGCCCCCACCTCTGGTCATGGAAAAGCCGCAGGTGAGCACAGGGAGAACCAGCCCAGCTCACCTGGGCCAGGGAGGGGCAGGAAGTAATCCCAGCTCTTATCAGCATCTTCATTTTATCAGCCGCAACTTTATCTCCTCCCGGCCAGGCTCAGCACGGGAATTTCGAGCTCTCCCAAACGTTCATTTGCTGTGGTTTTTGTAGGATTCGCTCATTTTGGGCGGATTTAGGAACTGCTTTTGATGTTTGGAAATAGCGCTGAGTGCTAAAGGGACCTTTCTGAGAATTCCAGAATTATTTGGATTTGGAAATTCCACCGAGTGTTAAAGGGACCTTTCAGAGAATTCCAGGATTTTGGGGGTTGGAAAATCCTTCCATGGTCATCGAGTCCAAGATGGGACCAATCCCCCCTGGTCACCAGACAAATTCCAGGAATTCTCAGGGGTGGCCACTCCGAACCCCCCCGGGCAGCCCCTTCCAAGGCCTTTTCCCCTTGTGAGGAAGAATTTCCCCCAACTTCCCACCCGGAGCCTCCCTTGGAACAGCTCGAGGCCGCTCCCTGTTGTCCTGTCCCATTCCCTGGGATCAGATCCCAGATGCCCCCTGGCAGATCCCAAATCCCCCCGGGATCCCCCATTTCTCCAGGATCACCCCCAGCTCCTGTCCCCGGGCACGGCGCTGGCTCCGTGCGGAGCGAGCCGGGCTCAGCGGGGCCGGCGGCGTTTGAGGTTCGGGAGCTGCAGGAGCAGCAGATTTGGGCCCAGATTGGCGGCGGGGAGGAGGAAAGAAGCCGCAGCGCCGGGCTGGCACCTCCCAAGCGCTGGGCAGCCCCTCCCTGGGCTGGGCCCCGCTCCCCCCAGCCCGGGCGGGGATAAAAGGCCCCCGGGAGCAGCCAGGGCACGGCACAGCCGCTCCAGCCCCGAGCCAGCAGCAGCTGCCCCTCAGCTCCGGCTCCTCCGCCGCCAGCGCCGCGACCCCCAGAGCAGCAGCCATGGGTAAGGGACCCTGGCGGGCTCCCCCCGCAGCCCCGGGCCCGCAGCCCCGGCCCGGGCCCGGCTCCAGCCCCGCCGTGCTCTGCGGGGATGGCCCGGGCACACCGGGGCACGGGTGCCTTTGTGCCCGGGCACACCGGGGCACGGGTGCCTTTGTGCCCGGGCACACCGGGGCACGGGTGCCTTTGTGCCCGGGCACACCGGGGCACGGGTGCCTTTGTGCCCGGGCACACCGGGGCACGGGTGCCTTTGTGCCCGGGCACACCGGGGCACGGGTGCCTTTGTGCCCGGGCACACCGGGGCACGGGTGCCTTTGTGCCCGGGCACACCGGGGCACGGGTGCCTTTGTGCCCGGGCACACCGGGGCACGGGTGCCTTTGTGCCCGGGCACACCGGGGCACGGGTGCCTTTGTGCCCGGGCACACCGGGGCACGGGTGCCTTTGTGCCCGGGCACACCGGGGCACGGGTGCCTTTGTGCCCGGGCACACCGGGGCACGGGTGCCTTTGTGCCCGGGCACACCGGGGCACGGGTGCCTTTGTGCCCGGGCACACCGGGGCACGGGTGCCTTTGTGCCCGGGCACACCGGGGCACGGGTGCCTTTGTGCCCGGGCACACCGGGGCACGGGTGCCTTTGTGCCCGGGCACACCGGGGCACGGGTGCCTTTGTGCCCGGGCACACCGGGGCACGGGTGCCTTTGTGCCCGGGCACACCGGGGCACGGGTGCCTTTGTGCCCGGGCACACCGGGGCACGGGTGCCTTTGTGCCCGGGCACACCGGGGCACGGGTGCCTTTGTGCCCGGGCACACCGGGGCACGGGTGCCTTTGTGCCCGGGCACACCGGGGCACGGGTGCCTTTGTGCCCGGGCACACCGGGGCACGGGTGCCTTTGTGCCCGGGCACACCGGGGCACGGGTGCCTTTGTGCCCGGGCACACCGGGGCACGGGTGCCTTTGTGCCCGGGCACACCGGGGCACGGGTGCCTTTGTGCCCGGGCACACCGGGGCACGGGTGCCTTTGTGCCCGGGCACACCGGGGCACGGGTGCCTTTGTGCCCGGGCACACCGGGGCACGGGTGCCTTTGTGCCCGGGCACACCGGGGCACGGGTGCCTTTGTGCCCGGGCACACCGGGGCACGGGTGCCTTTGTGCCCGGGCACACCGGGGCACGGGTGCCTTTGTGCCCGGGCACACCGGGGCACGGGTGCCTTTGTGCCCGGGCACACCGGGGCACGGGTGCCTTTGTGCCCGGGCACACCGGGGCACGGGTGCCTTTGTGCCCGGGCACACCGGGGCACGGGTGCCTTTGTGCCCGGGCACACCGGGGCACGGGTGCCTTTGTGCCCGGGCACACCGGGGCACGGGTGCCTTTGTGCCCGGGCACACCGGGGCACGGGTGCCTTTGTGCCCGGGCACACCGGGGCACGGGTGCCTTTGTGCCCGGGCACACCGGGGCACGGGTGCCTTTGTGCCCGGGCACACCGGGGCACGGGTGCCTTTGTGCCCGGGCACACCGGGGCACGGGTGCCTTTGTGCCCGGGCACACCGGGGCACGGGTGCCTTTGTGCCCGGGCACACCGGGGCACGGGTGCCTTTGTGCCCGGGCACACCGGGGCACGGGTGCCTTTGTGCCCGGGCACACCGGGGCACGGGTGCCTTTGTGCCCGGGCACACCGGGGCACGGGTGCCTTTGTGCCCGGGCACACCGGGGCACGGGTGCCTTTGTGCCCGGGCACACCGGGGCACGGGTGCCTTTGTGCCCGGGCACACCGGGGCACGGGTGCCTTTGTGCCCGGGCACACCGGGGCACGGGTGCCTTTGTGCCCGGGCACACCGGGGCACGGGTGCCTTTGTGCCCGGGCACACCGGGGCACGGGTGCCTTTGTGCCCGGGCACACCGGGGCACGGGTGCCTTTGTGCCCGGGCACACCGGGGCACGGGTGCCTTTGTGCCCGGGCACACCGGGGCACGGGTGCCTTTGTGCCCGGGCACACCGGGGCACGGGTGCCTTTGTGCCCGGGCACACCGGGGCACGGGTGCCTTTGTGCCCGGGCACACCGGGGCACGGGTGCCTTTGTGCCCGGGCACACCGGGGCACGGGTGCCTTTGTGCCCGGGCACACCGGGGCACGGGTGCCTTTGTGCCCGGGCACACCGGGGCACGGGTGCCTTTGTGCCCGGGCACACCGGGGCACGGGTGCCTTTGTGCCCGGGCACACCGGGGCACGGGTGCCTTTGTGCCCGGGCACACCGGGGCACGGGTGCCTTTGTGCCCGGGCACACCGGGGCACGGGTGCCTTTGTGCCCGGGCACACCGGGGCACGGGTGCCTTTGTGCCCGGGCACACCGGGGCACGGGTGCCTTTGTGCCCGGGCACACCGGGGCACGGGTGCCTTTGTGCCCGGGCACACCGGGGCACGGGTGCCTTTGTGCCCGGGCACACCGGGGCACGGGTGCCTTTGTGCCCGGGCCGTCCCCGTCCCCGTCCCCGTCCCTGTCCCTGTCCCTGTCCCTGTCCCCGTCCCCGTCCCTGTCCCTGTCCCCGTCCCTGTCCCTTTCCCCTGTCCCCGTCCCTGTCCCCGTCCCTGTCCCTGTCCCTGCCGGGGGGACACACGGGGGGCCCAAACCCCGAATTCCCCCGGGTCGGGATTATCCTAGGGAACACCCGGGCTCCCCACACCAGCAGGAAAAGCCGGCGAGGAGGAGCCGCTGCCCTGGGTCCCAAAATTCCCAAGGCTTTGAAGCTTTTTGGGCGAGCAGCCCCCGAGGAGCCGCCAAAGCCCGAGATAATTCCAGGGCGTCTCTCGCTCCTCTGGATCCGCTTGGAATGAGGGACTTGAAAGGCTCGGGGTGGCCTTTCCTCCCTCCACTGGGCAGGAATGTCCAGCTCCAGAGGCTTTTAGGGATGGGCGGGACAGATCCCAGATGAATCCCTTCCAAATCGGGGGAGATAACCGCGATCTGCACTTTCAGGAACGGAGAAATCTGATTTTCCCTGGATTATGGGAAGTGGGGATGAGCAGGAGAAGCCGGGAAACTTCCCGAACCGGGCTGGGGGGCCGTTGCCCCCCCTCCTGGCAATGGAAAAGCCGCAGGTGAGCACAGGGAGAACCAGCCCAGCTCACCTGGGCCAGGGAGGGGCAGGAAGTAATCCCAGCTCTTATCAGCATCTTCATTTTATCAGCCGCAACTTTATCTCCTCCCGGCCAGGCTCAGCACGGGAATTTCGAGCTCTCCCAAACGTTCATTTGCTGTGGTTTTTGTAGGATTCGCTCATTTTGGGCGGATTTAGGAACTGCTTTTGATGTTTGGAAATAGCGCTGAGTGCTAAAGGGACCTTTCTGAGAATTCCAGAATTATTTGGATTTGGAAATTCCACCGAGTGTTAAAGGGACCTTTCAGAGAATTCCAGGATTTTGGGGGTTGGAAAATCCTTCCATGGTCATCGAGTCCAAGATGGGACCAATCCCCCCTGGTCACCAGACAAATTCCAGGAATTCTCAGGGGTGGCCACTCCGAACCCCCCCGGGCAGCCCCTTCCAAGGCCTTTTCCCCTTGTGAGGAAGAATTTCCCCCAACTTCCCACCCTGAGCCTCCCCTGGCACAGCTCGAGGCCGCTCCCTCTTGTCCTGTCCCATTCCCTGGGATCAGATCCCAGATGCCCCCTGGCAGATCCCAAATCCCCCCGGGATCCCCCATTTCTCCAGGATCAGCCCCCAGCTCCTGTCCCCGGGCACGGCGCTGGCTCCGTGCGGAGCGAGCCGGGCTCAGCGGGGCCGGCGGCGTTTGAGGTTCGGGAGCTGCAGGAGCAGCAGATTTGGGCCCAGATTGGCGGCGGGGAGGAGGAAAGAAGCCGCAGCGCCGGGCTGGCACCTCCCAAGCGCTGGGCAGCCCCTCCCTGGGCTGGGCCCCGCTCCCCCCAGCCCGGGCGGGGATAAAAGGCCCCCGGGAGCAGCCAGGGCACGGCACAGCCGCTCCAGCCCCGAGCCAGCAGCAGCTGCCCCTCAGCTCCGGCTCCTCCGCCGCCAGCGCCGCGACCCGGCCCGGCTCGGCCCGGCCCGGCTCGGGGGCAGCGCGGGCTGAGCCGGGCTCGCTGTCCCTGTGCAGAGAGACAACTGGGCCGTGGAGGAGGTGATCCGGATCCCGGCCAAGGACGTGTCGGGCTGGATCATGCCCAAGATGCCAGGTGCGTGTGCCCTCGGGGCTGGCATTCCTGTTCCCTGGGCGAGTTCTGCAGCCGGGCACAGCCTGCGGGGTGACCCCAGAGCCCGGCTGGTGACCCCAGAGCCCGGCTGGTGACCCCAAATCCTGCCGGGTGACCCCAGATCCCGGCTGGGTGACCCCAGACCCTGCGGGGTGACCCCAGAGCCCGGCTGGGTGACCCCAGACCCTGCCGGGTGACCCCAAATCCTGCCGGGAGACCCCAATTTGTGCCTGAGCCCAAAGCCTGGCCGAGCCCAAAGCCCGGCCGAGCCCATAGTCCCGGTCCCTGCCCCAAGGCCAGCTCAGCCCAGGCCCGTGTGCCGGCTCTGCCCGCGGCCCTGAGCCCCGGCTCTGCCCGCAGCCTTCATCGCCGACCTCGTCATCAGCCCGGACGACCGGTTCCTGTACGTGTGCAATTGGCTGCACGGGGACATCCGGCAGTACGAGCTGGCCAGGAACTGCAAGCCCCGGCTGGTGGGGCAGGTGAGGGGCAGCCCCCGGCGCGGGGGGCCGAGCGGGGCCGGGGGCGCCGGGGGGGCCGGGGAACGCTCGAGTGCCAGCGCCGCCCTTGCAGGTGTTCGTGGGGGGCAGCATCCTGCGAGGGGGCCCCGTGACCGTGTGCAGGGACGAGGAGCTCAAGTGCCAGCCCGAGCCGCTGGTGGTCAAGGTGAGCGGGGACAGGGCCGGCAGCGCCGGGGGGCTTGGGGGGAGTGACA